AATTATTTAATTGACGGCGGGTTCCGGGGCCACCTACGATTCAGTAGCGTAAAAACATTTTAAAAAAAGAGCATTTTTCAGCCGAGTCTGCAACCTCGAAAGAGCATTTTATTGTCTCGTTGAAGTACCGAATAAATTTTGCGTAGTGGCGGAATTAAAGATAATGAAATAGTATATTAAGAAGCAGTAACAAGTTAGTATCTAAGGTAGCCAGTAAGCATATCAAGTTTCTGGCTAATATTTTAGTGTTTAATACAATTCATAAAAATATGACCTCTTAAATTATTAAATTCATTTTAGTTCAGTTCTAGTCTGAATGTTGTGAATACAACATATATGCCCCAATCCCATCCCCAACACCATCTCCGTGTCCGTAACGTTTTTTTCGTTATTAACACTTTTTTCGGTTATGTGCCAGAGCAAATATATATTTTGTTTAATAAATATACAAAACGACAGTTGAAAAAAAAATATATTAAAATACCTTTGTACACAATTTTTTTAATATTACGTTTAATGCGAGAATATTGTCAACCAAAAAATGAAAGTATGAGAAAAATAATCATCCCCTCTAGTGTAAAGTGTTTATGATTTGTTTATTTATTTGTCAATGTTTATTGGTAATACTATGTTTAAAGAATATACCATATACATTTGTAACTAGTTGGACTATTTTAAAATAAGTTAAAGAGTATCGTAATTTATTATAAGTAAAGGTTTAAATTTGTATTCTAATGTGTTGAGTTGCAACACAAAAAATAGAAGTATAAAAAAAAAAAAAACACATCATTGTAATTACAATACCTTCTCAGTTTCTCATCGAAGCTAATAGTTAGCGAACTTAAAGTAATGTATAAAAAATGTACTTACAATGTCAGAGGACGGTTAATAGGTATATAGTAAATAATAAACTTCAACTACTGAAGTACGAACATTCATGAGCAAAATAGCAATTGATGTGTTTGTTAAATTTTTTTAAAGTCATTTTTTTACAACACTAAGATGGGTGTTTATGTCGACCGAAACGGTGAAAACGAAATAAATTTTACAGTGCCTGTTTTCGTTTATTTAACAGCTGTTTTCATTTTTAATATGATTGCAAATTTGCATTGCACTGACGCAAGTTCAGACAATTTTCTTTTTAATCGCTATAACAAATATCACTTTTTTTTTATTTGAGAATATATTTATACAGGGTGATCCAACTAACGTAAGACACTAATTTTTTTGGAAAATATGAATATTTTGAGAACTTTTTTCCCCTTAACTTTTAAGTACATATTTGACTACATTTTTCAATATCTGCAATATTTTTATCGTCAAATTGTATGTGTAAGACAAGTATCGCATTTGGATTTTTAAATGGGAACATGTGTTTTTAATTTCATAAATCTGTAGACAAAATTTTTAAAACAATTTTAGCGATTGAATTTTTAATTTTCAACTATCTGTTCGTTTTCTATAACTTTATAAAGATTTTATATTAAAATAAATATTTGTTGGGTTAAATAAAACAGTAGCACTTCTTTTTGCCATTAAATAATAATAGGGATCTCTATCGGTAATACTCGTCACCGATATCAGACATAAATAACATTCGGTCCAATTTTGTTTTTAATATTATATGCAAGGTGGATTTATCAGGTGTTAACACTCACTACCCATTACCGTACGAAAGGTTGATGGACAATATCGCACCAGTTGAACACTCTGCTAGATCGTGTTGGTTACCCGATAAAGTCTCAACAACGCATGTACAGCATACGCAAAATTGATTTAAATTGAAGTTATTTACATCAAATATCAATTATATTAAAGTTTTATTAATTTTGGTTGTTATAATACATTTACAATACATTAAGAAATTTATTAAAGTGTTATGTAGAATTAATTATTTCAATTAGTAATTAGTTATGCCCAAATAGGTAACCTTTTGGCTTCTGCATTAATAAGTACCTATTTGTTGTTAAAATGTTTTATAGCAATATTTAAAAAAAATTGTTTATCAATGTTGAACTGAGATATTACTCAGTACAACATTGATAAAAAAAAACATTAAAAAATGGAGTAGTTCTTAAAATATTACGCATTTCTTGTACAACAATAGTACTAAAAAATAATATTGAACAGAAATTTGTATACATGACAGCAGTAGTCAAAGGGTTAAAATACTGGGCGATTCTTTTAACGCCCTACATTAGTTTACTCTTAAAATAATTGCAAATGTGTAGTGGTTATTTTTGAAAAACATTTTAATTATACTATATTACTATATAAAACAATATTTAAATTTTTATCTTTTTTAGTATTTTCTAGAGCTTTATCAACTTTTGAAACTTAAATGTTAACGTAAGTATATTTTTAACTTTTTAAATTAACAATAATTTGCTGAAGATGAAGTGAAGCTAAATTTCTGTCGGCTCTTGGAATTTTTTGATTCCATTTATCAATCATATCCTACATAATAATAAAACTATATAACTGAGCAAATTGAAGGTTACCCTATGTTTTATTGCATAATATATGTAGGAATTCCTAATTTAGATCTTACTCAACTCTACCTTTAAACTGTCCCTAACTTAACTCTATACAATATTTAAAAATGCTATTAAATAGATTGCTGCATGTATTCAATAATTATTGTCAACTTTTACTAGTCTATACTCCAGATATTTGTTTTAACTTTCATTAAACTGACACATTCATGCTTTAGTCTTACTAAGAAATTGTTAAAAACTAACTACTAAATAGTATAAAGTTCTGTACGAATACCATGTCATAAGAATTAAACCCGAAGCATCCTAAATCATTATCGAGTTTACCAAATATTTGAGTTAGCATAATATCTGCGAAGGATAAAACATAGATGGATATTTTTTATTTTCATTTTTGTATGATTTAATATCATTGGGCAATCCAGTATTGCACCCAGGTACAAAACATTTGTTGGGCATTATTTGGTTAAAAAACGTAACTAAGTCTTAAGTCTAAAAAAATCTTAATTGAACAACGTGTGCAGCATTAATCGCGCTCAAAGGGATGATTTTCAAAACAAAAGCTCATGTTTTTTGAGACTTTATCGGGTATCCAACGCCATCTAGCGGAGAATTCAACTGGTGCGTTTTTTTCAATCAGCTAATCGGCAGAGTGTTAACACCTGATAAATCCACCTTGATTATATGAACAATCGATTCTTTATCTACTTGCTCGGAAACAAAGGTCTAGCATAACCGTCATTCGTTCTTCTATCTTATCAATAGACTGTACGTTACATAATCCCTTTTAAATATTATCACACTATCATTATAATTTTTTTTCTGTAATTTCGAATTCAGCGTCTGTACTGTTTCAGTACATAACAAGACGACCAATATTATACAACCAACTTTATTAAAAAAAAATAATAATTAAATATAAAGTGTGCTACACATATGTTGTTTTGCCAGTCGACACAGCATACTAATAAATCGCGTTATTAAAGTTAAGTTAAAACTTATTGATTCATTATTATTATCGATCTATTGCTTATTTGATATTTATTTAATAAGTTGTTCTAATTGTTCCATAAGATGACAAACAAAATTCTGTTTTTTTTCTTACACTTTCACCTACTTATAACTTAACGGCAACGTATACCAATGTTGTTCTTCTCAATTCTCACACACAGTGCATAACATGAACTTTGTCACAGTATGAATCGGCTATTATTACCTGCATTTATTTCCTATTAAATTCATATGGGCAACAAAATCAATTAAGGCACGGTGGAGCTATTCAAAATATTCGCAACTAGAACGCTAATAATATTCACTATCGGTAGGTATAACTGTCTAGTGTGTCATAATATGTTACTACATACAATTATATAATATATTAATACTTAATGGTGTACACCACTCAAGTACACGAAAAAAATCCCTGAAAAAAAGCATCTAGCAACTGCCGCTGCCGAAAAATAGTAAAAATGTTTAAAATATAGAATTAACGGTCAAGTCTCACACGATAGCCTACGGGTAAATTTACAAATGAGCTGTATATTTATCACAAAATAAATCAATCCTTAAGTATTTAAATAAATATTTATAGTGTAAAGTGGGTAAAGGTAACATTTTTAAATGATTCAAAAAGCATTAGAAAAAGCAATTGGATAAAAATGTATCTTAGGCCAATTATATTTAATCTAAAACAATGTTCAGACTTCTGACTCATTAAAATATCCTGAATTTTTTTATTTGACGACGGCTTGTCGGATCAGATAGGATTACTTAAATGTATAAAATTCGAATTTCAATAAATCTCAGCAAATTTAGTATTATAGCTTCCTTGCTAATTTATTCGTTTCAAAAATTCTATTTTCCTTTATACTGTGAATTATAACAATTTATTGATAGAGCTATAGATAAATCTTACGTTTAATTTTCGGTAGTTTAGCATTTTCTTAAAGACTGTTCATTAGCTTGTTTTGCATTGTTATTTGAAGAGATCGGAGATAAGGAAAACCGATAGATGATTAGAGATAACTCATAACATATCCATGATACAATGATTTTCCGTGGAGTGGAGAAAATAACTAGATTATTTGTTAGGTCAACATTCTAAAGAAACTTCTTTTAATCCGTTTAGACTATAGCGTGTTGTAATAATTTTTACTACATTAGTATGAGCGTTAGTTTTCCATTAGAACTCTGACATTATATCATTTTTATACGGCTTTTTTTTTGGTACTTCCCAAAATATGGGAATATTTACGCCACTATAATAATATAATCTTAATATGCGAAAGATTATTAAATAACAATAAGAATACAATACATAAGTAACAATTATTTTTATAATAGTGGTAAATACTGTTTATTATCACACACATACAACAATGTTTATTATTACATACATATAATTATTACATTGACAATTTATTGACACATTTTATTAGTGCGGAATGAAAACAAAGCATATCCAATTCTTTAATCATTATAATTCCTAATCCAAATTATTGAGCTCAGTTAAAAAAGGCCTAACTAGAGTACGCACGCGAATACGTGGAGTTAATTCCCAAAATGCACCATCCTCTTCATTGAATTTATATATGAAACCTTCCTTTTTGAATACATCCAATAAATAGCAATACTCTTCGTCAATACCAACGGAGGCTATATATGCATGCGGATATTTAATAGTTCTAAATAAACCTGCTAAACGACACATCATGTACAAATCCCGGAAAACTGGATCGTTTTGCCCTTCAACAAAAAATAACCGAATTTAGCTCATTTCTTACTAATTTTCTAAATTTACAAAATAAAACTTATATGTATGCTAGAAAAAAGGGTTCAGATATTCATGTTGTGTCAGATCTTTACTACTATAGTATATGTGTGTATAACTGCGATAAGAATGAAGGTTTGTAAATTACTTATTATATGTATATTTACGTATGTAATGGCTTGCTGGAATTAGCCAAGTTTTACGACATAACCGATTTCTCCTTGAATGTTAATAATATTTAATGTACAACCTAAATGGGTTTTTTCTCTACTTTGTACGTAACCAAAAGGTTAACAACATCATAAATTTAAATCGTAAAATTCAATTTATTCATACAACTGCTAAGAAATCGTATACTTTGTACAACTAGAGATTGTGAAAACACACAAATAACACATTAAATATTGTATAAATTATCTATCCGACAATGTTCCGCGATTAACAGTGGACAGCTTGGCAATTCACCAACGACCCGGACTCGAGGATTAGCGGTTGCACAACTGGAAAAAGGTCACCAATGCGGGGATGCCAATGACTCCTTCCATTCCACCCGGATGGCAATTTTGCGTAAATACCAGCCGCTTCGCCACAGCAATTCAGAAGTGTCCTGGCTGTGTATTCCTCCAGATACCTGCAACAAGACCTTCGTTTTACTGTTTGTGTACTGAATTTATGCTTGTGAAAATACATAGCTTACCATATCTTTGTTATTGAAAGTATTCTTTTTAATTTAAAATATCCAAATTCCATCTTCAACCTTTGTGTTTTAAGTCTTCAAAGGCCACAGACTTAACACGTATTAATGATGTTATAGCTTCTAAAGTAATTTTTCTTCTCTCCTTTCCCAAAGATGTCAGGCCTGAATAACAAATAAAAAATAATTAGTTGCTTCCAAGTAAATAGAATTACATTTGGTTATGTCAATTATTGCACAACCATTCCATTATTATTAACAAGTACTATATAAAATTAACAATTTTTAAAAAAATTCCTATCTCTTTAAAATTGAAAAAATACTTAAAAAGATAATATTTTACAATAAGGATAATTGGCATAAACTAAAGTAAGTTGTATCCTTTAGAAAATAATTGATATTCAAACACACCCCATAAGGGAAGACAAATAATTATAATCATAACGTTACCATTAGTTAGTATACTAATGAATATAAAGATATCTTAATTAACAGACATTATTTTTTTGTTTCAAATCGATTATTTTCATTAGCATAAATATAATATGTATAGTGTTTTAAAACCCATTATAAATAAATATATATACTTACTAAATGCACGGATGATTCTATATCTTGGAACTGCTGTGGGATTAATTCTTCTCTCTTCTATAAGACTACCTAAATTTTCTGCAAAAAATAATAGGTAATAAAAATACAAAAAAAAACCAGTACAGTGGGGTCGGTGCATAGTGGGGACGGAGCATAGTTGGGTCGGGACATATTGGGGACGGGGAGGTCACAGGTTTACAGGAATTTTTAAATCTGAAAGTGATAAAATCACTTTCGAAAAAACGCTTCGATGCAAATCGGTAGTTAGTATTTTCAAGCCAGTACAGTCCAAACCAAGCACAGTATAAACCAGCAAAGTTAGAAAGTTTTAAATGAAGGTTCTGTTTTTACAAATGAGCATCAAAGCGTTTATTTGAAAGCGATTTTATCCGAGAGGACTAGTACAGTAGAGTATTGGCATAATGTAATCAAAGCAATGAGGAAACGGAGAGGTCACAGGTCTACAAGAATTATTATAAATAAAAGTGATAAAATTGAATAAAATCGCTTTCAAATAAACGCTTTGATGCTCATTTGTAAATACAGAACCTTCATTTAAAATTTTGTAACTTTGCTGGTTTATACTGTGCTTGGTTTGGACTGTACTGGCTTGAAAATACTAACTACCGATTTGCATCGAAGCGTTTTTTCGAAAGTGATTTTATCACTTTCAGATTTAAAAATTCCTGTAAACCTGTGACCTCCCCGTTCCCAATATGCCCCGACCGAACTATGCTCCGTCCCCACTATGCACCGACTCCACTGTACTGGTTTTTTTTTTTTTTTTCAAAAACTTAGTGGACCAAATAACACATATACAATGTCTTGTTATATTTTGTTGGAATGGTCGACGATTCATGTTCCAATCGTTTGTACTCCATAGTTTCAAATCGCTTATTCTCAATAAAATTAATATTTATGTACTATATACTTCCATTAAAGCAATCTCACACAAACTATTTATACTTCACAGATTATATTATTTCAAAGCTATATTATAGCTATTCTCTATTTTACTAGATTGACAATGTACAAAATAAAATGCAACTAAAAAAACCTTTTCATAGATCCTTAAAATGTAAAGGGTGGGATAGTGAAACGGGTTTTACTATTTAAATACATTAGAAAATCGCCGTTTTACTGCCTCATCCTGTATATTAATTTCTTGTTATTTTCTAAAGAAAAATCGATTTTCTTACATTTAAATTAAAATAAATCATATACTGGTACTGTGATGGAGAAAACAATACATTTTACCTACAAATATTACTTATTAGTTAAATATTACTAACGTGTAAAGCCACTAGCGGTCGGCTGTTGCCTGTTATTTAACAATAACCTTTTATGGAGATTTTAAAAATTGTGTTTTTTTAATAATAGCATAGGAGCAGTATCATGATGTTAAATGTGCACGAGATTTGATGTAGTCATAAAATAAAGTATTATCATTTATGACTTAATTATTATTAAAATTTATCTTAATTTGTACATAGTAATAAAATAATGAAATATTTTATACAAAATTAGAGCTACAAGTTGATAAACTAAAAAATTAAAAATAACACGAAGCAGATTATCTAATATTAGACAATTTAAACAATCAAACGTGAATCTCTTTAAATTAATAACAGTATAACAATATGCAAAACATTAGTTATCCTTTAAAAAAATTGTGTAATATAAATACATTTTGAGGCGGTGTACTGCATAAAAACCAACACTTAATCAAAAAACAACAGTCCTATTCATAATTTGCAGGTAGTTGGACCTTATATACCCATAGTTGACCTTCGGTAAGGTTGTATAACGCAGGCTATAAAATAACGAGATAACGACAGTGGTTTTGTCGTATCAGAATCATTAAGTGTCTTAATAAGTACACGGATAGGTTTTTTTCCCAATAAATCAAGTGTCTACTATAATCAGTTACACGATTTAGTCGTCTGTGATATCATGTAATAAACACAATATCATGATACCGATCATTAAATCATTGGGCCCTAACCTAATCTAACACGGATAGACGTTACCAACTGATAGTTTATAGTGTCTGTTCGTTTCTCCCATCTGGTACACCGGGTTTTTAGTTAAAAAAAAAAAAAAAAATTGAATTTGTGTTAACTTAAAGTCAAAAGTGGTACTCGAGCACAAAACTTAATAGTATCATTCTGCATAGATAAACATAAAATTTTTTAATGATTTGATCAATTTTTTTTTAAGATTTTAGGTGTTTTTGTTAAAATATACGCAATGTGCGAAAACACAGTTTTCCAGCAATTAAAAAAAAACTGTAGTGCCGAATTTTTCACCCGCTTAATATGTTATGGATACATATGAGTTCCAACTACTGGCAAATTTTCAACCCAAAAGTTTTAAAATTACGGCTAAAAACGCCGAAAAACAAAAAAACTTGAACCTCCCCTAGGGGGGCGGGAAATGGGTATAGTTTAAATTTGACACAATTGACGTGCGCGGGCATACCAAATAAATATTTCTTATACATTTCAACTCGATCCGACTCTTTTTCTCGATACTATAGCCAGTAAAAGTTCTAACTTAAAAACTCGTACGGTTTTTTTTTTGTTTTTTCAACTTTCGTCTGTGAAGAATCAAACTTTTTCAACTTTTACCCCCCCCCCCCAAAATACAAACTAGACAAAATTTGTGATTTATAGAGTTGCTATTCAAAGGAATTGGTGTAGTATTAAAAAAGTTATAGTGTATACAGCGAAAAAAAAAGCTCACATCAGAGTAAAACCTTCTTGCTTTGCATCGAAGCTAAAAGAGAAGATTGATTATATAGAAAATTGTATATGTTATAGATCCAATTTGGATCTACCTTAGGTCTAATTATCAGACTTTGAAATCTAACAAAAGCTATGCGAAGAAAAAGTTCCCATTATATTACTATTTTGGTTTGTCAACGTTTATTGGTAGTAAAATGTTAAAAACATATTTCATACAAATTTCGAACTAATTCGACTATTGAAAAAGTACTAGTGCTTTGTAATTTAGAGTTAGCAAATATGAACATTTTTTTGGGGTTTTTTTTCTCCATTTCGAGGGAGAATATCTTTAACTAATCGTTTGAGTTCTTATGAAATATTTTAAATTTTCCATTTTCAACTTAAGAATTCCGGTGCTCTACGAATTTAAAATTAGTCAAATTAGTTGTAAGCCGTTGAAATAGTCGAATTAGTTCCTAAGGATTTTTTTACCATTTGAACAAGCTTTAACCCTGCATCAGTCGCGCGTTCTACTATTGTATTACACCGATAATAAATTTCATTTTAAATTGTTTTAGGTTTTCTTCATCACAATAATAATTATATTACCTTTAAGTGATATTGTATTGTCATTCTGTATATTGAGCGATAAAGTTGTATGTTCTACTATTGTAGAATACGCGACGACTCAGATATGATTTTTTTACATTGTACGTTTATGGGTATATTAGATATTTTATAAATTGATGTTATACATAATAAATATATATATACATATAAATATTTATATATATATATACATACAAATATATATTTTAATAATATTGTTTTATTTATTCTCCTTTAAATTGTTACAGTTCCTTTTTATATGTATTAAATTAATTAATATTGTACAAATATGATACAAAATATACAATAAATATGAGAATTAAATAATGTAATCAAATCATTAATTTATGTTGCAGTAATACATTTTAATTAGCAAAATTGTAATTGTTCTACATATGTAGACGCGCGACTACTCGTGTGATATTAAACCACGCGACTGATGCAGGGTTAATAAATGCCGTTTAAGAGTATCTAGCAATTTTTTTTTTATTTTTTGTATACAAGGTAATTTTTTTATCACGAGCCACTCAATATCTCATGGGGTTTAATAAGAAATTAAAATTTTTATTTTCATATTGTTTAAAAACAATATAAAAAAACAAATTTGAATTCCTTATTAAACCCTATTGAGTGGCTCATGATAAATAAATCACCTGTATAACGCGTACGTGTTCATTAATTTTTTGTAGGGACGGCAGTTTTTTTTTTCCTAACAACTTTAACCCAAGTCGTTACATTTTAAAACTTTACGGAACGTGGGACACTTGTACACACAAAAAACGATACTTGATTTTTGAAATCGAGAAAAACAACCGATAAATTTACATATTTTTCAAATTCTAATAATTCTTACAAGCCCATGTTTCCTCACCCCCCGTCCCAATATGCTCCGTTACCTCTACGCTCCCTCCCTGCTGTACTGGCTTTTCTAGATGTTTTTTTTTTGTTCTAAAACTCTCACAGCACGCATTTTACTGACAATGTGTATAATTTGCATACATTATTATGGAACACGTCATGATCGTTCTTTGTGTTTTATAGGCGATTTTATTCAAAATGAAATATATATATATATATATTGTTTTTGGATGAATATTCAAACAACACCTACAGCAGTTTCAAAAAAATATACCGAAACATCTGTATGAAAAAAAAAATCGAAATAGGATGACTGATTCGAGACAATATTCAACTTATGATTTTGTTTAAATTTTAAACCTTTGATTTTGTAATTTTAATAGGTGCACACACTATAGCGAAATAACTAAATTTGTTGGCCTTGATTTTGTAAATGAATATTACCATTTTTCTAAAAAACATTCATCAAGTAAAGTCGGGGCTTATTGGTGTCATGGCTTATTAAAGACGGCAAGGTTAAATGTGTTCAGGAATATACTTATTTATTTGAATAGGCTGCGTACCTACTATGTCTCAACCCTACTCTACTGGCTAGTATTAGTATACAGTATATATACAATTTACACTTTAATTATAAAATTATAACTAATTATATTTTCACGAGTTATCTTACAACGAATTTTAGTAAATATATTATATAAAAAAAATATTAAAGACGTTGAGCTGTTAAGAGGATAATGATTTTGTTTTTATTCATAATACATGTGACTAACACTTTCAGTATTGAACATATAATTACTATTAGAAAAACCATAATTATGCAATGATATTATTACAAAAGATAACATTTTTTTATATAAACGTTTACTAGCTCTCTGAAATTATAT